AGGCCGGCCAAGCCCGGAAAAGCAACAGAGTTCTACACAGCCAGAGGCGTAACGGTCCGAAGTGACAAATGGTTAACTAGAATCGCAAACAGTTTACTAGACAAATAGTTCGACGCGGGCAGCGTTAAATAACCAATCGATCACGGGGATCGGGTTCGGATATCAGCTGCGCGGTGGCAGGGCCCGTATCGGATGCGGCCTCGATTGGCGCACGTGTTGCCAATTACCCGGTCCGCGTCAAACGACGTCACAGTTGAATCCTCCATGGACGACGAACGTGACCGTCGGTGGCGAACATCCGCTCGGAGAGACGGACGAGCGGGAGGACGAGGAAAAAAAGGGTTAATCGCGATACACCTCGGAGGGATTCCCTTCTCGGGGGCCATTAAAGGGGTCGTCTGGCCTACAGAGTCCAAAAAATCGATTTTCTTCTGCCTCTTACCACTCCTTCGATCGCCGTACCACGAAGAACGCATCCACGAAATGATTTTATATCATTTATAAAAGCCGCGGAATTTTCGGATCGAAGACAAACAGAGGAAAGAACATTTCTCCTTGAACATTCCGCCGATGGATATTACCCGTGATTCGCAATACAAAACTTCCGTTGGCAAGCTATCTCAATGTTTAAAAATTTTACACCCCGAAGATTGCTAGAAAAAGAAGCTTAACTCGCAAAAAGAAACTACCTGCCAGGTATTCCGTACTCTATTATTAATAAGAACAAATTCGGTGGCAAGGAATTTCTCCCACCTCGCGTACACGGACATTAATAATATTCACTGGCGCGCTAACGTCCGCGATAATCGCCATTCTTCTTTATCCAGCGAATTGATTCTCATCTATATAAACATCGATTCCAGTCCCTTCAATTCCGGCCGGCGCAATCGTAACGCGATTGACAAGAAACTAAAAAGGTGAAATCGTTTTCCCGTCCATTCCTCCGAGGAACAAAAGGAAGGGAGTCGTTCTCGGTGAGATTAAACGCGAAAGAGTATCAAGGCCGAAGGAACATCCCCGCGCGGCGGATATCTAGAACAAAACGTCGGAAGACAGTGCACGGGGCGTAACGAGCGGCGGCGACGCGTTCCTGTCTGTCCGGCGATCGGGTTCACGCGTGTAACCTCGTAGTCCAGCGCGTCCGGTCCCCTCCGACGATAAAGTCTACGGTATTACGCGGAACGGAACGGAACAGAACGGAACGGAACAGAACGGAACGGAACGGAACGAGGAACGGAGAAAAGGAGAAAAAGAGGAAGAGAGCGAAGTGACGAGAGCCGAAGGGCCGCGAGTAATTGAGTCAAAATTATTTTCGAGCGGGCCGGGGCTGCGGTCATTACAGCGGTTAGCCTCAATCGAGGGCGGTCCGGCGGGCCGAACTTTCCGGGTGGCAACTTTTTCTGCTTTGATGATCACTGTCAGTGGGCAAAAGGCCGCTTACGGGGCTCTCTCGCGCGCTCTCACCTCGCGCGTCGCTCCATCAATCTCTCGTAACCCAGCGTGCCGTTTTTACCGGGTGAAATTTATTACGCCCGTGGCCCACGCTCTTGCGCAGACCGCCCCCTCCGCGAGGAACGAACAACAGGCCTCTCGAGCGAGCGAGCGAGCGAAGGGCCGAAGTAGCTTACTTCCATCGCCTATCATCGCGGACCGCGTTTCGGCACGAACGTTCAACACTTGGGGCGGCTACCCTCTTTCTAGGCTACCTGATGGGATAACAATGGAAATTTGGAGAATAGATCTGATGGGAGTTGATGGGTTGATTTGGGGTTTCGATGACAGGGTTGGGTAGAGTTTCGGTAAGAATGGGCATTGCTATTGTAGATTCTCTGTTGTCAAACTTTCGTTAGATTTATAGAATATAGAGTACTCGGGTTGTAGAGTATATGTATAGAATGTCTGCGAATTTTGGGGAACAAGTTTCCGAAGTTTTTCTAGGTTATTCAGTACCGAAAGTGCTAACGCGCAGGACTCTAATATACATATCGTTAAGCCGCATTCCGGAAAGTTCGTACGTTTCTGCGCACTTCCATGAATAACAAAAACAGCCAAGATGGACAAAGTTAGCGCGGCGTTCCGCAAGAATACTATTTGCATAGTAAGAGGCCGTTCGCAGCGGCGGGCAGCCAGCGCGCGGAGACGTTTGCTTAACGAACGAAACGTTCAAACGGAGTCAGTGGGGCACCGGTTAATCACCGGAAAAGCATTTCGAGTTCCAGCCGGGAACTGTTTTCTGATTAAACATACCCGACCGTCGGGTAACCGAAGTTCTCGACGTCCGTGGCGGCAAGATCCCGGCCTCGGAGAGACTTCCCTGAACGTTTGTTCCCGGTAACTGCGTCCGTGGAGCGTGTTCACGCGATCCCACCCTTATCGGGGCCAATATACCACCACGTTAATTCGCGGCGGCGCAATAACCACTCCCGAAAGTACAACTTAGGCACCGCCGGAATAGCACGGTATCACGCACCGGGGCGATTCCGTTCGCGAGGGATCGCCGCGATCGGGCTGGGCCGGGGCCCGATCGTTTACGGGGTGGAGCGATGCCTCGCGACGCCGTTATTCAATTCAACGGGCGCGGCGCTGCGCAAGACAAACATCGAAATCGGCGCGGGAAAGTGCCGGTTACCCTACAAAAATCGGCGCGGGACGGTCCCGGTCATTACGTCGCGACCACCACGATCATTTGGTCACGGATAAGGCGGCGAATTACGAGCCGCGCCGATACGAGGCGCGATACGTCCGGTTTATAGAAATTTCGAGCGATCCCCTCGGACAGTATCGGTCCCGATTGTATCATCCATTCTCTGTAGTTACGGAGATCGATCGGTATCTTCGGTTTCCGGGGAACAGGGGTGGAATGCTTGATTTCGATTTACTATAGCTTGGAATGCGAGATATTAACTTCGTGGATCTGTTAATTAGATTATGGAACAGTTGGAATAAATAATTCAGTGGAGTTGTAATTATTAACAGATAGAAGCAATGAATATTCAAGCGAATGATCTTCCAACGAAATTTCGCGAGTTTCAATAAATCTCTTGATAATATAATTAATTTTCCTTCCCAAGAAACTGAGAAACAAACCCATTAACTCTAAGTACTAATTGTATCTGTAGTTATCAGCAGGTAGAAGAGACAAATATTCAAGCGAACGATCTTCCAACGAAATCTCGCGTTAGTCACCTGAAATTTGGAAACGTCAAAGTCCGTAGAATTTCAATAAATCACTTAATAATATAATCAATCTTCCTTCCCAAGAAACTGAGAAACAAACCCATTAACTCTAAGTACTAATTGTATCTGTAGTTATCAACAGGTAGAAGAGACAAATATTCAAGCGAACGATCTTCCAACGAAATCTCGCGTTAGCCAACTGAAATTTGGATACATCGAAATCCGTGGAATTTCGATAAATCGCTTAAAAATATAATCAATCTTCCTTCTCTGTTCTCAACTCGTTTTCAATTTTCAAACACGAAATGCCTCTGGATCATTCTCGAAATCTGCATTCCTATCAACGGCGGAGCGAACAAAAAGTCAGGGGGAAGAGAGAAAAATCTGTCGCGCTCCCATCAGCGTGAATTGCATCCGCGAGAGAAGAATATTCCTCCTCCGGAGGCGTCCTTATTAGAAGGAACCCGAGATCCCGGTTGACACTCCGTTGTACCTGTCGCTTGGCCGGCTTGTACCGGGAGCGAGGGGTTACAAGCGTTCGCGGAATTCCCGGTGCGCGTTGCGCCGGGCCTCTCGCGCGAGGAATAGTCTCGGGGCCCCGCGAAATTACGAGCACCGCGGCCGGCGACGATTCTTTAATAAAACCGTTAGGCCGGGGTCCCTAGCGCGGCCGCGGTAGGCCGCGCGTAACGGGCGAGCAGCATCGGGACGCGGATAAAAAGGGGTTATACTATACGTTAATATATCAGGTTATCTTCGATCAGCTTTATAACGATACACCCGGTGGCGCTCGGGGCGAGGAGCGGAGGGAGCAGGTACTCTCTTAACAAGCGGCCCGGATTTTTCTGGCAGTTAATGGCGACTTTCTCCTGTTTATTGTGCGCACGATCGTATCTCGTTCGGGAATTAATTAGTGTCAGCCTCTTTAAAAGGTCTGCGCAATTCTCACGAAATGCGCAAATCCGCACGAGAGCGGATTCCGGGAGGCTGTCCGTCTCTGTTCTTCGCTTTCCCCTTTCTCTCTCTGTTTCTTCTTCTTCTGTTTCTGTTGCTTCTTCATCCTCTTCTTCTTCTTCCTCTTCCTCTTCTTCTTCTTCTTCTCCCTTTCCATCGGTTCGCCGCTCGTTTAGAAAGTCCGTCGGATCGGCCGTCGTGCAAGATGAGTCGGTGTGCGAGAATAAAATGACCTTTCTCGTTTGATCCGCTCCGATATCGGGCATTCCAGGCTTTCCGTTTCGCGCCTTCGCGATCCAGAAATTCTGGGCTCCACGGGCTACACCGGAACTCGCGGCAGCCCCGTTTATCGGAGGTTTTCGATCGGATTTTGTATTTAACGATTTAGCGACGTTCAACGTGAACCTTTCGTGTAATTTTGTTAAGTGGGCCAAACAAGGAAGTTGGTACAATGACAACTATACTAGTGGATTCTACAAATTTCTATTCTCAGAAGATACTTTATAAAGATTATTTATAATCTTCCATTAACACGTTGAATGCCGTACGATATCACAGAGCAAAATACACGTAATGGAACAAATATAATATTAAGTCATTCGATTGAATTGCATTATTATTGCACGTTAATCTATTTGAATGTCACCACATTAGATAGCATTATCTATAATATAAAAATATTTGCAGGTAATCCTCATGGCATTCAACGTGTCAATCACAAGGAGAATAGAAACTATAACAACAAAATCAACGAAATAACCATAGTAATCCAACCGTACTTGCCGCGTCGAATGCCACCGAATTTCCCGGTGATGAACCAGTATCCATCGGCCGGATCGAAACGATCAACGATTTTAATTCCCGGAGGATCCAGAGGAGCTCGAGGCACTCCGTCGCTGAATGATCTTTCTGGTCGTTGTTCAGGGCACGACGGAAAGCCGGAACGGTCAGTCACCCTGTCACGGCTGAACCGCTCGCAATGTCAAGCCGGTGCTGCGGGAGCACTTAACGAATCGCAATCATCCCGACTGAATAGGAAAAGTCCTGAATAGGAATCCGGGGACCGGTTGCTGGCTACGGGCAAGGCCTAGACAAGGTCGGCCCGATGCGATTGCAATACGATCTACGGGGTATTAGCGGAGAGTCTGAATGATCGAGCCGTTGGTAATCGACTGCGGAGAAGAAGACGACGAAGAAGAGGAGGAAGAAGAACAGCGAAGGGGAGGAGAAGAAGAAGGACCGCGGCTAGTAGGATTAAGAAAATATATGACGGGCAATTCTAGTTCTCTTTATCACGGCTTGTATCCCGCGAGAGGACATTCCACGGTTGTACCTTATAGATCTTTCGCTATTTATTACTCTCCCTCCCTTTCTTTATCTTCCCCCCTATCTCTCTCGCTCCCTCTCGAGAGATAAAGTTATGTAATGCCGCGCGTAGATCCTCAACCGCTGGTGGTCCACCGGATGGACGCGGCGCGGTGCGCACGCACGCCGCCGCTCGGAAGTATGTGGACACTTAGCATTTTTATAGAACCCGTGGTACGCAACGTGTGTCGTTATTGTCGGACGACGTTCGCCGGTGAATTCTGTTACACGCGTACGCGTAACGTATTACGATAGAATCGACGACGAACGATTTCGTTATTGAAATATCTGAAATAAATGGAAGTTCGCGCGGCGCGTCCGGGGCCGGCTCTTATTCAGTTCGCGCGCGGATGGGCTGCCCGACTCATTTTTTTGTCTCTTTGGTTTTACGATAACTGTTAACCGAGCGCGCGGCGGATACGCAGACGGGAAGGAAATTTAATCGAATGTATTAAAGATTCGAGCGAACCGCGCTCTGCACTTGCAACGAACCCGCCGATGGACGTATAATTCCTGTCTCCACGAAATTACTATCGATAAAATCAATTCCACCGGCATAGCCGCCAAGACAAGAGGGTTAATTTCACGGAATCAATCGAATCAATCGACTGCGCCATTACCAGCCCACAGACGGTTCGCGTCAGCATCTGCGTGGTCTCACCCTGAATAGGGGTCCTCCCCGTCCGAAACACTGGCTCGACAATATCGACCCTTATCTGTCCAACCCCTCAACGTTTGTGATCGCGTAGCTTCATTCTTCTGGTAGGAAGGTTGTATCAATCTGTTGCAAACCAGAGATTAGGTGAAAAGGGAGCTAACGATTGAGAGGCAACCTTTCAACTACAACTTTCTACATTATACAACTCATAGTCTCTTCGATTCTGATAGGTAACAACTAATTAGATCAGAAAGAATAATTCACAACTGAATCTATTCTCACATTCGACTCATTATCGACGATTACCATTAGATTACATTGACTACACCGTCAGATTATATCTCGCCCAACTATACTGAGTAGCAACTCGACTAGCACATCCCCAAAAATACCGATCCGATTCTAACAGGTAACAATCAATTAGATTAGAAAGAATAATTCACAACTGATCAACCCTCACATTCGAATCATTATCGACGATTGCCATTAGATTACATTGACTACACCGTCAGATTATATCTCGCCCAACTATGCCGAGTAGCAACTCGACTAGCACATCCCCAAAAATACCGATTCGATTCTAACAGGTAACAATCAATTAGATTAGAAAGAATAATTCACAACTGATCAACCCTCACATTCGAATCATTATCGACGATTGCCATTAGATTACATTGACTACACCGTCAGATTATATCTCGTCCAACTATGCCGAGTAGCAACTCGACTAGCACGTTCCCAAAAATACCGATCCGAAGGCATCATAGAACATCCAGCGTTCGAAGGGTCGTTTCTTTTAACAAGACAACGCCGCACGGCGCCGGCCGCTGCAGCTTAATTCGATTAAAGCGTCCCGGTGGCAGGTTATCGGCCGGTGGGCGCCGCTCCCGGTGAGATTCCTCGGAAAACGTAGGATAAGTTTCTGGCGAGGGCCGACGCGGTGAATTATGGGCGTTATTGTCCGCCCGCGAACAACAGGCCGCCTCATTACATGTGGGAATTATTGACGGCGGACCGCCTCGGTGGCTCTCCTAAGTGCGCTACACTCGGCTCAGGCCCGTCTCGTTCCAGCATCGTCGCCACCATTCCACCTCTGCACCGCAGGCCCCGTCGCTGCTCCGTTGGGCCCTGCCGCCTGCGACGAGGCGCGTCCCTTCGCACCTCGGTTACCCTCATTTTCCATCTCCTATTACTCCTTTCGTTTCATCTTTTCACCTTCCTTTCGGCTGTAACGACACGTTTCGTTTCGTGTCTCTGGTTCTTTCCAGAAACTTGAGGGACAGTTATCGGTTTCGATCCTTGTAACACTTACAGAGCATTAAATAACTGTCACGAAGAACCGAAGCTCCTGTTTGTATTAGCTTTACTAACATTCTCTTATCAATCGGATATTCTCGTATCGGTTCTTGTTATTTGTTTCTCATAGCATTCTACTCAGTTGTGGTCTATTCAGAGTGAATGTTACTCGACTGCTTTCAAATTAAATATCATGTCTCTGTTAGCAATAACAACGCTTAAAAGTAAACTAAAGACAGATCATTCATCTGTATCCATCAATAATTTATTGTATTATTGACGAAGTCATTCCAGCGAGCGCCACGAAAAGAACCGCAAAAGGCAAGAGGTCAACAGTTATCCTCGGGCCATTTCGAGCGCTGCTTCTACTTCCATCGTTCGTTACCCGACAGCTCTCTAGAAACTAGACGAGGAAACTGGCAGGGGCCTTTACACGGGAGAATATGGCCTGGGTTAGGTCTGGGTTAGGCTCGTTGCGATTCGAAGTTATCGGCGACGCCGGTAGAAGCCGGAATACAGGGACAAGAAAGTACCGGCAGGGTTGTTTTATGTCTGCCGGAGAAAGAGGGAGAGAGTGCCGGCTACAGGCGGCCACCCGCCGGCCATTAAATTAAACAGTTACCTGAGAGGGTTATAAGTCCCGGGGATGAAATCGTAGACGCGGAAGTCGGGATAATGTAAATGCCGTCGCGTCGCGTTTGAAACTTGTTTATCGACTTCTTTCCCTCCTTACGCTCGCGAATCTTTTTCTTTTCCTTCAACGCGGGCCCGAACTTGTCGCGGGCGTGTCCCGTCGCTCGCCCTCGGGGGCGAAGGTCGTTGGGATGCGCCGCGATCCTACTAATAAGATTCGAAGTTAGAGAAAAACCTTCGACGACGCTCGCGTCCGAGCTGTATTTACGGTTTATTTTTTAAAGAATCGTTCGTGTTCCCTGCGATCCGGCCGCAATCGAATTAGACGATCCTCCGGTGAGCTCAGAGGGTGGCTCGAGGGAATCCTTGATTCCGCCTGGCACGGGCTCAGCCCTAATTGCAGGGGATGCGGAAATAAAAGGAACTTTGTTCGGAAGTTTTCGTCGAGAACTTCGCTATCTTCCGACTGGATGGGCATTGATACGTTTATTTGAATTTCTGGGGATAATACGCGCCATCGAATTCCGCTTTAAATCAAGGCTTGAATATTCATAGTATTTCCAGCTAATTTTATCTCTGTTTTATTCGTTCTATTCTATTCCTAAGCGTAACTGTCGTAAGTAGCTTATGATGGAACTAGAGGTACCATTGTTATCTATTGTAACATAGAAGTTACTATATTATAAATATAGTAATTGCCATTAGAAGTTATTATCTATCTAGATTATGATAGAACTAGAGGTATCATTGTTATTTATTAAAACATAGAAGTTACTGTATTATAAATGTAGTAATTGTCATTAGAAATTATCTATCTACATTATGACAGAACTAGAGGTACCATTGTTATTTATTAAAACATAGAAGTTACTGTATTATAAATGTAGTAATTGTCATTAGAAATTATCTATCTAGATTATGATAGAACTAGAGGTACCATTGTTATTTATTAAAACATAGAAGTTACTGTATTATAAATATAGTAATTGTCATTAGAAATTATCTATCTACATTATGACAGAACTAGAGATACCATTGTCATTTATTAAAACATAGAAGTTACTATATTATAAATACAGTAATTTCCATTAGAAGTTATTATCCATCAGAGAATCCCTGAGAAACATATATATAAAATATATATAAAACTTTCGACTCCAATTTATCTGGAATAACGTACGTCCAAGCATCTACATCTGATCTAGATTACGAACGATCGAATGGTTTCCAGCAGCAGTGAACATTTCCCATAAAAAAAACGGTTCCCTTGAAACCGAACGAGGTCGCCGCGACAAAGATCGGAAACCGTAGGAGCGCCGGGGCAATTATTTCGAGCAGCGTAACCTCAAACGACCGGGCCATTAATGAGGCCCCAGCTAGACACGTTCGAGACGGGACCGCGGGTCTCGAAAGCGTGCTGGTCGTCGCCCGCGGACACGAATTCCTGGGGCGGGCAGGCTCGGCGCGCGAACATACACCCCCGACCATAAGTCACTTACTCTCGCGCATCACCGAACACGAAACAAGACGAAATCGACCCCACGGAATTACAGAAACAGCGAGACCTATTCATTAATTTTCAATGTTACAAGGAAAATATAAATCTTGTCGCATGACAGGGGCAATCACGGACAGCTTTCCATTAACACGTTCCGCATGTGTTTAGAAATAATCAAATTCAAATTAATATGTAATATCTCCGCCGACTCTACGATCTACACTCTCTTTATCTCTCGCGGAAATTTCTGCCTGAGCTGGTGCTTCCTAATCGCGACGGCTATAATTCGGAGACCGTTAACCAGTTAAAACTGTTTCTCGTAATCGTTATCTCGCATTTAAGAGCTCATTATAATAGAACATTCATTTTTTAAATACCTCACGTTGACATTGATTTAGGTGGACCCAACGTTGGAATATTCAGAAATTAGCGAGAGGCATTGCTCGTTATCTCGGGAGAATTTATTATTATCGATAACCGAATAACGTAAGCAACGATGTGATTTGCATTTTCATCGGGAACGGCGAGTGTCTTCGACGTAGAAATAAGAAAGGCGGTCCAATCCTGGTTTCGAGTTCTTTGACATCGTTAGCGGCCACCGGCGATCGCTAGACGAAAATCGGCGAGCGACGAAACTGCAGGTACGGCGCCCAAGAGAGGGGTCCAGTTAAAAATACAAATAACGTACAGAAATTACTTTTGTCCTGGCACGCCGGCAAGAGATTTACGGCGGGGCAACAAGCTTGCATTGGCGTAGGACTCGGAGACATAAATCAAGGAGAACTTATGAGAGGCCATTCATTAATATTAATAAGCCGTATGTATCTGTCGGGGCATAACGATACGCGATAGTTGCCCGATCGATACCTAGAGAGATTTTTCACCGGGTTGATGAGAAACGATGACTCAAAACGAGCCGCGTGCGCGCGCGCCAAAGTTCACGCGGACACCGACGGCGCGCCGGCCGCCGGGGGAAGCGGAAAACGTCGTCGCCGACGACGCCAACACCGGTGCCGTTCGATTGGCTGTTATTTAGACGCGCAGGTGCGTGCGACGTATTTGGCTCGGCCGGTAATTGCGGCGCTGCGCCAACGGACAAAGCGTCCTTCGCCATTGGACAAGACGAATTAATTCGTTAACTTATTATCGACGACGTATCGTCGCATGCCGCGCTTCGTTAGCGTTTTAATCTTCTACCGCGCGATTCTCTTCGCGGCTGTTGCCCCATAAATCTATATTAACGATAAAACTTTACAGATTTAGCTTTGTCAGCGGAAACAGAGGTTCTCCTTGTTCCGAAAAGAAGAGAGCTTATTGGATGTTAACACATCGCGTATCGGCTAATTTTCGGAAAACTGAATTATAGGGATGGCAATTTTCACTGAGGTCAACTTATATCACTATACATAGAAAAACTCAGATATCATATTATGTAATATATTTTAAATAGATAATCAATTCGAATTAAATTTTATATTTCTTTCAATGCTGTGGTAATCAGCGAAGTTGCGTAGCTAAGTGTCTTTATATAAAAACGAGATTTCTCGTGTTAATATTCATGTACAATTCAGAAACGACCTTTCGTTGGTTCTCTAACTGTCAATAACGCGGGGACCGCAAAGAAATGTTTAAAACGCGATAACACGCGCGGCAGGAACAAAAAAACTAATCGCGATGTACCTTTCCGAGCGACGTTCATTGTTTGTTGAAACTCGTGAGGGCTGTTAACGGCGATAGATCGGAAACACGTTTGATGGAGATAAACTCGACGTCGGACGGACGTAATGCGATTGAAATTTCAGAGCTGTTTCGATGATTGATCGCGCGGCTGATTGTTTCGAGGCGCAGCCGCGCGCGGCTCGGCTCTGCCGTGGCGTTCGGGAATTTATTCGATTTAATCGGTGCTAACGGCGACGCTGATTAGAAACCATTACCGGTGGATGACTTTTATTAATCCACACGGAAAAATGAGTCGATAACGTGGAACAATATTTTTCACCGGGAGACTTCGTTCGCGAGATAATTGTGTTCGAAGGCTCGTTCGTCTTGGTCCGTATCTATTGTACGTAGTAGAAACGGAAGGCCATAATCAGACGCGTCGGCCGGTTGCCTCGCGCGTACGCGATCTTCGGACGCGATTCACTCGGGGACGAAGCGTTCTACGAAAACACATTATCCCACGTTTTTTATTCAATTTACCGCGCACG